AAAGTTTGAAACATTTATATCTACACCTCAACAGGAAAATTCTTTCTCCAACAAATACAAATTGCACAATGAAAAACATTTAAGCAGATGGAAAGTACAGTTTTATTTGATCTGTTGAAACCTAGCAGTTTTTTGAGTTGAACAAAGAGAATTTCTTTAAACAAAGAAAAAAAAAAAAAAAAGAAAGAAAAAAAGAGGAGGATAAGGCAAGGAGGGATGTAATCAAGGATTAACAAAAACACAGAAAAGAGAAACAGGAAGGAAGAAGAAGTAGATAAATAAAATGCAGTAACAGTAAAATAGAACAAAAAAGTACTTCAGCAAAATTGGAAGTAACTACTGACCTTAAATTTATAGATCTTCTGACGTGAAAATGTCACAATGCAATCTCCTGTTTTTATGTTAGAAAAAGATCCAAGAGGAACTTTTAGAGGAACTAGTGGTGAAAGCCTCTCATAAGATTGGACCTGGGACATTAACCATACAAGAAAGATTGCAAATTTACAATAGAAGCCAGAGAAAGAAACATAACAAGCTTGCCAACCACCATAGCAGACAGAAGCTTTTAAAGGTTTATACCATTCATGAGCCATAAAAGAAGCCTTTACTTTGGCAATTCTAGAGTGACGAAACAACAATAACCAAAAAAATGAGGTAACTGATCAAACATATATTCCAGAAAATTACACTACCTCAACATGATCGTCAGTAACTTTCAGCATTTCCTGGATAAGAGGAACGGCAGCCACATCTCCACAAAGATGAAGTTCATCAGCAGCAATACCCAGGAGAGCACGTGTAAATGAAAAACCCCTTGCTTTACATCCCAACATCTACAGAGCACAATAAATGATCAAAAGAATAAAAAATAAGCAAGATCAATCTAAAATGCATCCTCAATCAGGTAACAGACCATTTTGTTTTAAAAGGCTTCAGAGTTCATACTCTTCTGACAGCATGAAAATTCCAAGAAAGCAGCAAAACAAGATTTTGGGACTTGATCCTAAATTCCATGTGGGTAAAAAAACAATATAGTGGGACTTTATCCAAGAATTCAAGATGCCTGATTGAGAAAACTTTCATACTGCAAGTAGAGCTGCATGTGTATGTGGGCAACATAAAGACCCTTCTCTCTCTCTCTCTCTCAGTAAATGAAAACCATTCTTGTTAATAACACACATTGGTTCATGATTCAAGGTCTTGATTTCTATGCACCTTGTGGGTCAAATAGGTGGTTCTAGCAATGTTACTATCATACTATGGTTGTAACTGCTACAAATTTTCTTGAAAATATTTAACTTGAATCTAAGCATCCAACCAATCTGAAAACAGCTATTCCCTTTTCCAGACAGGAACACACTGATGATTTCTTAAATCATTTTTCATATAGATTCACTGTCTTTACAGGTATCAATTCCAATTTCATTTAAAAGCTACTGCCTTGTGCAAGTTTGCTAAATATATGGGGGAAGAAAATAACTTTTAAAGAAAAACTTGCCTGTATTTCATCAATAACAGCACAATGGTAATGGGAGGCTACATCAGCCATCTCAACTGTCACAGCCTTATGCCTTGCACCATCAACTTCGTCTCTCTCTTGACCTGTAATCAGATCACATGGAACTTTTGCCTTGTTCATTCGTTTTGCAACTTCCCATGCCAACAATCTTAAAGGACCACAATATATGCCTGGATAATGCAAATTGTTAATCTGTTGATCATCAACTATAAAATTGTCATACTGTATCCTTGCCAAGGGACAAAGGTAATAAATCCTAGTAAAAAATAGCATTCAAAATATACCTGAGGCGCTTGATTCAAGCCGCTTCAGTGCATGGTATGTTTTACCACTATTGGTGGGGCCAACATGCAGGAAAACCTTGCGTTTCTTCCTTCGAGCAGTAGGATACCACATATGGGGACATCTGAAATAAACACAAGTTGATTAAAGCACAAATGCATAGAAGATTGCAGATACATTAATATCAGAAAAGAAAGGATTGCATTGACAATTAAACAAGAGGATGAAATAACATCAAGGATTTAGGTTTAAAAAACTGATTTTTCCTATGATCTTCTATTTATTCAAAACCATGAGTGCATAATCAAAAGAAAATCAGAATTGCATATTGAAATAAACAGCTTGTAGCCACAAATTACTTACGTGAGGTCAGTAAAATCAAAGTTCGAGCCACTTTGGCCACTGCTGTATCTCCTCATCCTTATACCTACGCTAAGAAAAGCTTCAAAATTCATTTCCATGGGTAGCCTAATCAACTCCATATCACCTGCCAAATAATGTCACAAACACCTAAAATCCCAAATAAAAGCAAAGAAGATTCCATACCAATAACAATCAACTATTGATCATACAATGAACCTCATACTCTTTAGCCTATCCCCTATTATCCAATAATACCCAATTGCCTTACTTCACCCTAGAAGCCAGATTAAGTATTGCAAAAGAACTACAAGCTGTCAAGAATCTAACTTTAAGCATAAATTGCGAGATGGGTATTAGTAGTCTTTCTAGCAAGGATAATTGAAAGGAAATATCATCCAAAATAAACAGAAAAGAATAAACACTGCTGAAAGTTGTGACGAACCTTGAAGAATGCGAGAAATGCCGAAAGCTGAAGCTTTCCGATGCCGACGAAGAAGCAAAGACGCCATTTTTTTTTCCTACTTTTCTTTTCTCTTCAATGATTACCAACTGTTTGTTGAAATTCCGCAACTAGTTTTCATGAGTTTCAATTTTCAAAGGAAAATCAAAATCCGACGAAAACGGACACTATGCGACTAACACGAATTCTAAGGAAATACAAGCGGTGAAGCAAAGAATTGCAGACGCATTCTCCCGGCCCTGCCTGTGGAAAAATACAGGGAGAACTGGAAAATCCTCAACAGGAGGATTCAATTGGGCTAATGCCCGTTATTAAACCAGCATCGCTTTGGGCTAGAATTCTGTTGGCCTGCAATATGAATCTATGCCAATATGGTCTGGGCTTCTCAACCCTGTGTTGGTGACTTTGTTCTTTTAGCAACAACCAACCATGGGGGATATGTGCATACTTGATAATGGGATTTAAAATTTTGGTTGATTGAGAAAGGAAATATGAGGCAATAGCATTGGTATGGTAAGTATAAATTTTTGCCAATGAGATACGTCTTCTCTAAAGTACATGGAGACTATCATATTAATATTTATGTTTGTTTACGTGTATCAACTTCATTTTAATTTTTTAATCTAATTAATCGAAGTTATTCATTATGAGATTAAAAAATTTACGAAACTATAATTCTAAAAAGTTTTCAATTGATATACCGATGATCAGTGCAGGTACCTATTCTTGTGCGTATCTGACTCCAAGTCGATCCAATTGCATGCATGTGGAAATTGTTGTGTTGAAATGGGTGGGTTGCAACGTTGAGAATTGAGAGTGACATAAGAGAAACAATTAAGGCTAGATAACGAGCAACCTGCCCCCAAGAGATTTTGATCATGACAAATGGGTGCATGGCAGCTTCATAAATTAGAGGATGGTGAGAATGGTATGCATAGAAGAATTTCAGAGCAATAGTTATTGTCACACACCATTTTTTTTTTTAAGTTATATAATTTTAATTAATATTTTATTAATTTATAATTTTTTTAAATAATTAATTACTTTATTTATTTCAAAATAATTATCTTTTTTATTTTAAATTTGTTTTTAGTTATTTTTTTTATTTTTTAGAAATAGATAAATATTTTTTTAATTTAAGCTTATTCTTATTTATTTATTTCAATTAATTATCTTATTACAAAAAACCTAATTATATCTTTTAATTTTCCTTAAAAATAATATAAATAAATTATCTCTAAATTTTTAATTTTAAAAAATAAAAATATAAAAATTATTATGAAATATAAAAAATATAATGTTTGAAAATATTTATTCATAAATTAATTTTAATTTATTAAATAATAAATATTAATTACTAATTATTTTTAATAATTAAATTAATAAAATATTAGTCGAAATTACGTTATTATCTATCAAAACAAAAGGATGTAGGGCGGCCATAACCCCCACGAAGTCTTTGCTTTCCATAAAAAAAAATAAATGCTACTAACTCTAACTTTAGGACAATATTTGGACACCTCATTGATTTGATGCTCAATTTAATAGGTCACATTGTTATTATGTGGTCCTGATCCGTTCTCTCATCTCATCATTTATTTGTTAGAACTTCTATTCTATATCACTTCACATTAATTAAGAATCAAGATTGAATTTTCAAGTGCATTGAACTAAGTCAGATAGAGGTTTAATAATATACTTTTGGTGAAAATAAAAACTAAGAAGCATTGAATTCCAGTAATATATGTAGCATACGGAGAGAATGAATTATGAGATGATTATTTTTAGGAAAACTTTCAATTAAGTTTCTGAGCTTATTTTAAGATTTTGATAAATTTTTAAATTTTTGTTAAAGTAAGTAAGTAAGTTTTTAAATTTATTGTTTTAAACAATTTAATTATTTTTTATGATAAATTTAATGCTTATTTATATTTTATTTACATAAATAATGTCAATACCTACGATATAAATAATAGCTTATTAGTAACTTATCCATGCAAATAATGTACAAATGGCATTAAATTAGTTATAAAGAATATGGGTTAAATTACCTTAAATCACTAAGTTTAGGGATTTATTTGCTTTAATAAAAGTTTAAGGCTTAAACAAGAATTTAAGGTAAATTTAGGGATTTAATGTAGGGTTCTATTATATCTAACCTATATTTCTTAATGCATATCTTAAGGTATAATAAATATATATTTTTATCATAAATTTATATTAAAAAACAAGAATTACCCTTTAATTCATCTGCTTGGTACTAATACTAAAAATAATGTCAATTTTTATATTTTTTATACATATTTATGACAAAAAGTAATTTTAACATGTGCTTTTCTTACACGAATTTAAAAGCTTTTTTAATAATAAAAATACTAAAAAATAAAAAAAAATTAATTACACTTGATAAATTACCACACAAAAATAATTTATTAAAAATATTTAATTAATTTTACCGTTCAACAAAATATCATAAATTTTACTTTTATCTTCACTAATAATCATCACAGCATTTGAATCTTGTGATCGAACCGCTATAAACCATTTTGTAAAGTGCATCTCTCCGACCCTTCAAATCCTCGGCCCGCAATTATAAACAAGTTAAAAAAATAATAATAATATCACATTTCTGTAGTTACGAAGAAAAACAGGTTTCAGTTTGACGTGTTCCTTGAGAAATGGAAATTGCCGATTCAAGCCATTTTTGGTTCGGTGGTCATTTACCCCAATCAATCAAACACTCTATGTAATAGATGGATGGAATTCAAAATCAACTCCTTTATCAGAACATTCCCTTGTAAAAGAAATTCAACTACGATGATAAAAAAAAGAAAGAAAGAAAGAAAGAAAGAAATTCAACTACAATTAAGACTATTTAGGTATGTGCAGTATCATTTATTTTTTATTTGTATAATTAATTTAATAAAAAAATTTTACATGACAATTTGT